CCTCCCAAAGTGTTGGGATTACAGGCGTGAGCCACCGTGCCCGGCCAATTGTCAGTGATTTTAAGGGGAAAAGGTCATTGAGTTGGGGGTACGATTAGTTTGAATGAGTGAGAGCTATTCAGATAATTTGCTACCACTTCTGTGTATCAGGCGTTCCCTGTGTAGGAGTGACTTCCAGGCCCCAGGACTACTCCCACTGTCCACTTCCTGACTCACCCAGGGGCATGGTGACAGGGGTGTGTCTCTGCGTGTATGTAGAGGAACATGAACAGTAGAGGAACCCCAGATCTGTAGCATGTGGAGTTCAAAGCTACTCTGGAGACTTCTCCCAATTATCTGACATGTAAAATTGTTAGCAGAGTCGATTCTCATCAGCAAACATCTCTCTTGTCAGGAGCATGCTTAATGTGGCCTATATACTTTTAAGCACATCATGCATTGTTTTATTTTTCAATGGCAATTCCAAAAAATACAATTCACTGTAGCTGTTGTATCTTTAGGGTAGAAATCAATAGTAGTGCTGTAACTAATGAGTGTGTCTCTGCGTGAAGTGGCATATTCTACACATTCCAACTATCGATAATGAAACATTTCTATCAACCTTGCTAAGGGAAAGGCTGAATTATCTTTTATAAAATCGTAGCCAGATGAAGAGTCAATCAGAGCCCCAAAGTACAGGATAAAAGTATTGCGGAAGTATATTGGTTGATAAAAACATGAAATTATTTTTCTGTATTGTTTACTGTTTTTGCGGTACTTTCCAGTTCTTCAATATTTGTAATTTGCCGTGAAGTCTTTACATTCTAAACATCAGTTTTATACCTAATTTCGTATTTGTAATTGTATATCCTTCTTTTCTTAAGGAAAATACTCCAGATTGTATAAGATTTAGGCCCACAAAACCTGAATCGATTCTTGACAGAGTAATTAAGTAACAGCTGAAATCACAGCCACTAAATGGCTAAGCCGGGATTTGAAGCCGGAATTCAAATGTGGGCCTTAAAAGGGCGTCTTGGACTCTAATCTGTGCCTTTGGAGTCAGGATCTTGTTAAAGTTCGGATTCTGACTCAGTCGATGTGGGCTGGTGCTCAGGTGCTGTGAGGCTGCTGCTCTGTGGGCCACACTCCGAGGAGCCGGGGTCTCTCAGCTAATGTGCTCTGTGGCCAGTTCTCAGACAGTGCAAGGAACCATTGCCATTGAGGGAGGTTGTGGGACTTGCCCAGAGTAGCAGAGTCAGAGACTCACAGCTCCATCGGGCACCTTACATGTGGCAGGTGGGCTAAGTGGGGAATCCCAGGAGTCAGCTCTGGGTCCCCAAGAGGAATGTCCCTTCCAGCCCCCTACACCTCAGGTGGGAGCTGCCTGTCCCCTGTTCCCTGGGATTGACCTGAGATGCTGCAATCAGTCTCCAGACCTGCAAGGTGAGCAGGAGAGCACCGGCGTTTCCAGTGCGACTGACGTACCTGGCTGACCTCTACTGCTCTGGCTTTCTCCACCTTGGTGACAGTGCTGCTCAGCCCCGCTAAGCGTCAGTTTCCCAGTGCATTGAACGAGCTTAATATGACCCACCTCATCGAGTTATTCATGGATTAAATGAGGCATTATATGACAAGTTACTGTCCGACTCTGTGAGCGTTGGCCCACGGCACCCATGGAACTGGTGATTGTTGTTCCTGGGCTAAACTGACCTTGGGAATCAAGTGACTGCTTCTTGCGCGTGTACTCTCAGCTTCCTTTTCTCTCAATGTGTGTGAAGAAGAGACTGTGTTAGAATAGAAGGACATCGGCAAACGTCTCACACCCTGCAGAGGGCTGAACAGAGGCTAAGGGCTTGATGGCAGCTAACTGTTCCCTGACAGATGTCAGCTTTGCCTGTCTGTCTCTCTTAACGTGTTTGCAGCTGTGCAGCAGTCTGGGCAGCCTCTGGCATTCTCTTTCTGCCTGGGTCCTCCTAAATGCACCCAAAATCCCAGCCATGCTGCTTGATCACCACAGGCCTGCCTGATGACAACAGGCTGTGGTGATTTTATTTGTCATCTTTAGAGCATGTGTAGCAGTATTTCTTTCCCAGAGGCATCAGATGTTTGTCCTGCAGACATGTTTTCCAGGAGAAAAGGCTAATAGATGAGGGCAGGCTGTATTTCCTGGCTGTCCCAATCCTCTGGAGACTTCCTGGTCTTTGGCATCCCCCAGAAGGACATGCACCATGGTGGCTGCAGACTCTAGGTGGTGCTGCCCCAAGCTCTGTAACCTAGAGCGTCCGACGTCAGTTGCAGCCTGGCCTGGGTTTGGGTTATTTTAAGCTGCCCCTGCAATGCAGATGCAAATCCAGAAAAAGAGGACTGAGGGGCCTGCTCATCAGGGAAGAGCTCGGTAAGCACACGTTGTCAGTGGCTTAGAGAGCAGGAAGACAATGTAATTACAGTCATTCCAAGAGGTTCATTCTGCTGCATTGCCCGTTTCAGGAGCACCCCTCCCATTCCTTTGGTGCCAATACTATTTTTTAAAAACCTTCCTGGTAAATTTCAAAATGCCACTGGTAAAAGCAAACTGCCTCACTTAGCTCCTTGGTTATTTGTTTAAAATTCAGTGTATCTCAGTAGAATTTTTTTATGGAAGGGATTGAAGCCCCTGACCCTGCCCTTTGGGGGAAGGGGATGTCCAAGAGTAGGGGGAGGAGCTTTCGCCTTCAACCCAAGGACCTCGACTGCATTCCACATGAAGCATTAGCTTTAGGACAGCATGAGCACAGACCAAACCCTGAGAATGCAGTTTGCCCACTCATCTATTTATTAATTTGGTGTGTGAATTAACAGGCTTTGTCCAGAAAGACGAAGTGGTGAAGGTGTGAAATTGCTTTCCTTGGAAAGCTTTGTTTAGTGGACCTCTATTAGTCCTGAATGGCAGGCAGAATCCTGGGTTCACAAGTGATAATTTTCTACTCCTTCTATTGTCATTTCCATCTGTCTAACTTTTCAGATTCCTAAGTATTTTTCTGCTTCATTCATGTATGTATTCATTCATCCATTCAGTGAGCTTTCATTAAATGTGAACTATGTGCCAGGACTGCACTGGACATGGGGGCCACTGTCCCTGCCCTTGAGCTTCCAGGGCCATGATGGGCGGAGCAGGGGTCAGTGGGCAGACACCAAGGTCAGTGCTGCTGGTAGCCCACGTGTCTGGGGCTTGTGGAGCTGTGGAGCATCACCTAATGGATCTAGCGGCTGGCGAGGCTTTTTGGAGTGGTTCTAGATTAGGGAGGAAGTTTAGTGAAAGAAAGAGAAAGACATTTCGAGGGAAATTGGGAAAGTGTGGCCAAAGGGTGTACATGTAACCCTCTCTCCAGTCCGCCACAGCTTTTAGTAAGAGATCAGTTTCCCGAGAATGTACTGTGGGCTGGGAGCTCTGTGGAGGATGTGCCAGGCATGGCTCGGGTGCTCCTGAGGCTGCTGCCCCCACGTGACACGGAGAAGGCTGTTTGCAGAACAGCCACAGGTAGCAGCACAAAGAACAAGCATGAATGGGAAACAGGTCCCAGGAACTCTGCCTCCCTCTCATGTGTCCATTTGCTTCTCAATAGTTACTGAATACCTGCTGCACGCACCGTCCTGGGGACTGGGAAAACCGCCGCATCTTGGCCCTTTTGGACCTTTACATAATGATCAGCAAATAGATGAATCTGTGGTATGTCAGACCGTGATGGAGGAAGACAGCTATGGAGAAAGACAAAGGAAGGAAACAAGATAGAGCCTGCAAGGCTAAGGTGAGGGTGGGAGGTGCCACGCTGACAGGTGACATTCAAACAAATCCTTGAGGGAGTGGCCATGTGGGTACCTGAAGTAAGGATGGTCCAGGCGGAGGAAACAAGCGGGAAAGCCCTGAGGCAGCAGTGGGCTTGTTGTGTTCAGGGAAAGGCAAGGAAGGGAAGGCAGAAGCAGAGTAGTGGGAGGGAGCGGGTCAGAGAGGAGGAGAGGGAGCTGGGGCCAGTGCATGGAGGGCCGGGAGGCTCTATCTCGGGTAAGTTTAGAAGCTAGTGGAGGCTGCGGACTGGGGAGTGGCAGATGTGACCCCTGTTTCAATGTGAACACCCACTGTCAGGTCGGCGTGGGCCCAGGCTTAGAGCAGCGAACTGGTGCCTAACAAAAACAAAAAACAAAAAAAACAAAAAAACAGTCTCCAGAAACCAATTAAGCAGAAATATTTATAGAACATCCAGTACATGAAGGACATTTTGCTGGGTAGTTGGTTCCTCTCCTGAAGGAGCGAGCTTTCCGGATGAGTTGAAAATATGTGCATGCGCGGGAGGTGACGGCTCACTGCAGGGCAGGGCGTCATCCGTGTTGAAGGAGTGCCAGTGTTTCAGAAATGGACGCAGAGCAGGTCCATTTGATGGACGGGTAAGCGGAGCACTCTCTATGTGCCCGCACTGTTTTAAGTGCCCAGGGTCTTCTGGGGATGAGATTTGTATTTTTCACTCGTGCGTGGGACAGTTGAGGATCATGCTAGGCAGAGGTGAGCCCTTTCCTGGAAGGAGTTAATCTAAAAAGCATAATCTGCCTCATTTGGGAGGAGCTTAATAAATATCTCTTCAAATGAAGCAGTGGTCAATCAGAAAATTTATATTTTAGCTATAAAATTACCTATCACAATTTACCATGGGGCATAATCTTAGTCAAGCATCCAAATTAATGATTTCAGACCACAGATAACTGAAAACACCAAAGTGATAGGGTGGCAGGTATTTCAGTTAGCTACTGCTGCATAACGAATGACCCCAAAGCTTAGCGACTTAAAACAATGATTTGTTATTGATTATCATTCTGTCAGCTGGGAGTTTCTTCTGCTGGCCTCACCTGGGCTCATGCACAAGGCTACATTTAGCTAGGGTGTCAGCTTGGGGATGGGCATAGCTGGGATGCTGGGTCACCTGAGTCTTTCTCTGCATGTGGTATTGTTTTAAAATACAGGTTTTAGCGCTGCCTCAGGATGTAGAGCGTAACAAGGGGACGAGGGTGGGCAGCGTGGACCTGTGAGGCCTGTGGGTGCCCGCATCCTCCAGATCCCCCCCGCAGCCGACTCCGCAGTGGTCTGCTCCGGTTGCCTAGTGCAGATTTGCATTCCAAACGGAAGGCTGCGGATTCTCTGCCCGTTATTGTGGCCCCGACAGGCCGTGGTTACTTTGGCCACCGCCAGAGCAGCCTTGGCGCTATGGAGGAGCCCGGGGCTACCCCTCAGCCTTACTGGGGGCTGCTCCTGGAGGAGCCACGCAGGGTTGTGGCAGCACTGCCTGAAGACAGGAGACCAGATTCGACTCCTTATGGTTTTCCATGGGAATTGGTGATATGTGCAGCTGTCGTTGGATTTTTTGCTGCTCCCTTTTTCTTGTGGAGAAGTTTTAGATCGGTTAGGAGTCGGCTTTATGCGGGAAGAGAGAAAAAGCTTGCTGAAACGCTTTCTGGACTAATTGAAGAAAAATGTAGATTACTTGAAAAGTTTAGCCTTGTTCAAAAAGAGTATGAAGCCTATGAAGTAGAGTCATCTTTAGAGGATGCCAGCTCTGAGGAGGAGGCAACAGAAGCACAAAGTTTGGAGGCCACCTGTGAAAAGCTGAACCGGTCCAATTCTGAACTTGAGCATGAAATACTCTGTCTAGAAAAAGAGTTAAAAGAAGAGAAATCTAAACATTCTGAACAAGATGAATTGATGGCGGATATTTCCAAAAGGATACAGTCTCTAGAAGATGAGTCAAAATCCCTCAAATCCCAAGTAGCTGAAGCCAAAATGATCTTGAAGAGATTTCAAATGAATGAAGAACAACTGAAGATAGCAATACAAGATGCTTTGAATGAAAATTGTCAACTTCAGGAAAGCCAAAAACAGCTTTTGCAAGAAGCCGAAGTATGGAAAGAACAAGTGAGTGAACTTAATAAACAGAAAATAACATTTGAAGACTCCAAAGTACACGCAGAACAAGTTCTAAATGATAAAGAAAATCACATTGGGACTCTGACTGAACGCTTGCGAAAGATGAAAGATTGGGCTGCTATACTGGAAGAAGACATAACAGATGATGGTAACTTGGAATTAGAAATGAACAGTGAATCAGAAGGTGGTGCTTACTTAGATAATCCTCCGAAAGGAGCTTTGAAGAAACTGATTCATGCAGCTAAGTTAAATACTTCGTTAACAACCTTAGAAGGAGAAAGAAACGAACTTTATATTCAGTTATCTGAAGTTGATGAAACCAAGAAGGAGCTCAGAGGGCGTATTAAAAACCTTCAGACGGAACAAGCATCTTTGCAGTCGGAAAACACACAGTTTGAAAGTGAGAATCAGAAACTTCAACAGAAAGTTAAAGTAATGACTGAATTATATCAAGAAAATGCAATGAAACTCTACAGAAAATTAGTAGTAGAGGAAAATAACCGGTCAGAGAATGAGAAACTTTCTAAAGTAGACGAAACGATCAGCCATGGCACTGGAGAGCTGGAGACCTGCAAAAAGCGAGCCAAAGATCTGGAAGAACAATTTGAGAGAGTTCTTCATTTTTATCAAGGGAAGATTATTTCCTATAAGAAAAAAGTAGATGGTAATTGTTTGGCAGCTTGGATTGCTGAAGGAAACCTCAATGATTTAAGGAAAGAAAATGCTCACAACAGACAAAAATTAGCTGAAACAGAGTTTAAAATTAATCTTTTAGAAAAAGATCCTTATGCGCTTGATGTTCCAAATACAGCATTTGGCAGACAGCATTCCTCATATGGTCCCTCTCCACTGGGTCGGCCTTCATCTGAAACGAGAGCTTTTCTCTATCCTCCAACTTTGTCGGAGGGTCCACTGAGACTCTCACCTTCGCTTCCAGGGGGAGGAGGAAGAGGCCCAAGAGGCCCAGGGAACCCCCTGGACCATCAGATTGCCAATGAAAGAGGAGAATCAAGCTGTGAGAGGTTAACCAGTCCTCGCAGGGCTCCTTCTGACACTGGGCCCCTGTCGCCTCCGTGGGAACAGGACCGTAGGATGATGTTTCCTCCACCAGGACAGTCATATCCTGATTCAGCTCTTCCTCCACAAAGGCAAGACACATTTTATTCTAATTCTGCTAGACGCTCTGGACCAGCAGAACTCGGAAGTTTTAATATGCCTTCTTCGGATAAAATGGATGGGTCAATGCCTTCAGAAATGGAATCCAGTAGAAATGATACCAAAGATAATCTTGGTAATTTAAATGTGTCTGATTCATCTCTCCCCGCTGAAAATGAAGCAACTGGCCTGGGCTTTGTTCCTCCAGCTCTCGCTCCAATCAGAGGTCCATTGTTGCCAGTGGATATGAGGGGCCCGTTCACGAGAAGAGGACCTCCTTTCCCTCCACCTCCTCCAGGAACCATGTTTGGAGCTTCTCCAGATTATTTTCCACCAAGGGATTTCCCAGGTCCACCAAGGGATGTCCCAGGTACACCACGTGCTCCATTTGCAATGAGAAATGTCTATCCACCGAGGGGTTTTCCTCCTTACCTTACCCCAAGACCTGGATTTTGCCCCCCCCACCCCCACATTCTGAAGATAGAGCGAGTTCCCTTCAGGGTTGAGTCTGCCTTCAAATGAGCCTGCTACTGAAGATCCAGAACCACGGCAAGAAAACTGACAATATTTTTGCTCTCTTCAAAAGTCATTTTGACTGTTCTCATTTTCAGTTGAAGTAAATGCTGTTACTTCAATGATTACACTTTGCTCAAATTGAAACTTAATGGAATTATAATTCTCAGGATAGTATTTTGTAAATAAGGATGATTTAAATATGAATTTTATGAGTAAATTATTTCCATTTTATTTTATTCTAGATAATATAACTATTTTAACTTGATTAATCCACTATTATCTAAACAATAGTGGGAGCTTTATATATGTAATCTTGCAGGTGGGGGGGTTTTAAATTCTAAAGGCCTTGTCCTTATGCCAAGAACTGTATTTACTGTAGTTGTAGACAAATATGAAAGTAACTTGATGCTTAATTAAATAAATTTCAGTTGATTTAAAAATATATATAGGTTGCATTATTCTTCAGGTATGGAGAGACCGACAGATCAAGTGTCGATTGCCACTGAAAAGATTGATTGTTACTCACAGATCCCAAGAGAAGGGAAAGTGCTGTGCCATGCAGCACCATATAGGGAGGCACTATGGTCAGCGAGAAGGCAGGAGTGATGGAAAAACATGGGCAGAGCCTTTTTTTTGGAAACCACATGGTGGTTTCCACGGGAAGGAGTGAGTGAGGCAAGGTGAGCAGGGTTAAGATTAGCTATTAAGTTTGAGTGATTTCAGCAGGCTCTGGGTATAGGGGCTGTCCCTAGTTGTCTGGTACCCCGCCCTGGGGTGCTTAGGGCAGAGGAACAGTGGCCTAGAGTGTGTGAGTCCTGTGGAAGTCTGATGGAGTACGTAGCTGGGGGCATGAGCTCTGGACTGGTTGGTTTGTGTTTGAAAAGCACACTCATGGGCAAGTTTACTGTCTGTAGGAATTGGCTAACCCTGAGAGGGACAGACCTGCCTAGGTCACCAAGACCCTAGATGTCGAAGCGTCAGAATACATAAAAAGACGTGGTTAATATGGTATCAGAGCCTCTGTCTTCATGTGGCCTCTCATGAAGGGCTCTAGAGTGAGCTCCCTTAAGGGATGTCAAAGGCTGTTCAAGACAGCAGAAGCCACAAGGCCATGTAAAGCCTCAGCTTGGAAGTTACGCAACATCACTTCTGCTGCATCCCTTGGGTCAAAGCAAGTCACAGATGCACCCCAGATCCCTGCTCACGTCGAGAGGAGAGAGGAACATTAACCATGTGGGAGGGGAGGGTCATTACAGTTGTTTTGGCAAACAACCTGCTACAGAAAGTGTGGCTTCAGAGCACTGCGGAGGCCTTTCTGAACAGACCAGATCCAATAGGAAGAGCAGAAAGAAGCTGGGTTCCAGCTCGTTTGTCTTTGCTAGTGTGGAGTCAGGGTATAGCTTCCCTTTCACTGTTGGTCCCCAGCATCAGGGGTCAGTTGGGTGTTTGCCCAGGAGCCTGCAGGGACTGTTTGTACTTTTAGAGGAGGGTTGGCATGGCTTTGGGTTGCTGTCTCCGAAACTGCCCCAGGGCCTGGGATCCCAGGGAGTGGCTGCCTGGGCTGGCAGGGAGCCCAGGCCTGTTTGCAAACTGTTTGAATGCCTCAGGGTCACGGTCTCTCATGGGCATATTATTTTCTTATCAGGAGTTAAAATAACTCTAGAACTTCTCCCATAGAAATGCAGATGCTTTATTTTAATGAAAGTACCGTTTGTAAAGCATATGGAATTAGGCCAGTAACAACCAACATTTACTCCACACTTTAGGGCCCATGAGGCACTTTCTCATATGTTCTTCCTTGTTCTCGCAGTCACCTGTGGTTAGGCCTCATTGTCCTAGTTTTTCATATGAGAACACTGAAGCTCTAGGAGGGCTCAGAATTGGCTTGGGGCCTTAGGAGTTGCCCTGGGCTCAAGGGTGGAGCTATGGGAGCCCTACAAGGCTGCCCTGTTTCATGCATCACTTCAGTGAATCCCCTCTCTCCCCCATACCTGCTCATTCTGTGTGGCTGCACTCATTAGATTATTTCACCCTTTGAATTAGATGCCTCAGGGAGTCCCCTGAGCGGGCTAAGTTAACCTTTGCAGGGGGTACTGACACCCCCAGGTATAGCCCAGCCCTGCATGCTGCTTTTTGCTTCAGGGACCCCAGCCTGGTCCACTATTTGCTGGGAGAAGATTTCAGTCCCTCCAGAACACACAGCCTTTGAGGAGCCACAGCTCCCAGAGCCCGAGCCCCAAGTCACCACTGGGTGCAGTGCACACTCATCTGCTGTGCAGTGGTGGAGCTTCATCCTGGTGAGTCATTAGTTCTGCGTCTACAGGTGTCTCAGCGAGACGCCTACCTGTCTGCTTCACAGCCCCAGGTGAAGCCGTCATTCTCAATCCGACTGGGGAAGAGAAGGCGGCATCACAGCTGAGTTCCTCTCCAACATAGAACCACGGGGCATTGTCCTCAGACACACGCTAATATGAACCGAGACTAATGAGGCAGAACCTCTCAAAATAGCATTCTGTTTCTTTGGAAACCAAGGTGTAGTTTTTTAAATGCCACGTGGCCCTCGATCACATTTTGCACTTCCTAGCACTTATTCTACCATTTTTACAGGGACCTGTAGCAGGCAGAGGGGCTCAGGGCAGCTTCCCTGCAGGATTCCACTCCCTGCTTGGGTCGACCCCACTGCTGCAAGGGAGGACTTGCTCCTCACCTCCCTGCTCTCTGGGTGTTTCCTTTGTGAAGGGAGGGACCTGGCCTGCTAGAAAACATCTCAAAGCCCTGTCAAAGAGGAACTCCAGCTTCCCTTAGGATGCTCTGAAGAAGGTGCTCTCCAAATGAGAGAGCCTCAGGAGGGCAGTGGCACCTCCCTGACTGGGTGAGTCAGGTGCGGCTCTAGCCAAGGTGAGTGGGGCCTGCTGTGTCCGAGGTGGTGACAGCAGGCACTGAGACTGCTCCAGAATCATGGCTGTCTGAGGTTGTTGCTCTGAAGTCCTGCCTCCGGGCCCTCGTCCAGTGTCGTGACAGCTCTTTTCTCTGGAAGAGGACAGTCTCTCTCCCTGCACGAACTGCTTTCAGCCTGACATTTCTTCTCCTGCTTAGGGCCGTTCTCTGTGGACTGCGTCATGGTGTCTGCTGTTTTTCTTAGCTCAGTACTTCTCAACAAGGGTGCTTTTGACCTCCCACGGGGGCATTTGGTAATGTCCAGAGATATTTTACACAGTAACTACTGGAGGTGTGCTACTGGCATCGAGTGGAGGCCAGGGATGCTGCTAAACACCCCACAACACGCAGGACAGATCCCCGCACACCCCCACAGCAATTCTCTATTCCAAAATGTAGTACTAATTAGGTTAAGAAACCCTGCTAATGGTGATGTTCCCCTACCTGGTAAATAAAATTCAAGGTTCTCAGCCTCCAGATCAGTACAAAATGGATGTTTCTTGACTGAAATGCTTGGAGCCAGAAGTGTTTTAAATTTAGGATTTTGGAAAATTTGCATTATATTTACTGGTTGAGCATTCCCAATCTGAAAATCTGAAATCGGAAATGCTCCAATGAGCATTTCCTTTGAGCATCATGTTGATACTCAAAAAGATGCAGAATTTGGAGTATTTCAGATTTTTGGATTGTTCAACCTGTACTTTCACAGTATCTTGAAAACAGACCATGCTTATCTTTTCTCTTTTGATCTAGAGCCTCCTTCTTTTCCACGTCCATACCGTGAATTCCTATTCAAGCCCAGAGAAAAGTATTCATTACTACTATGCATTGGCTACTGAAGGCCAGGTGATGTTTTCCCAGATCTAACTAATCATGATCATGATCATCATTATCATCATCATCATCATCAACAATTACCTTGGGGTCATCATCAGAATTGCATATAAGCCAGTCACCAAGCAGTCGTCAGTCATCTGCCTTTAGCCCAGTGCTACCTGAATTCAGTTTCTGTCATCATGTATTTCTTAATTTCAAAATAGGCAGCAGCATTAAATCTGGTCCATGGGCTCATTAACATCATCATCGTCATCATCATCACCACCACCACCACCACCGCCATCATTGTCGTCATCATTGCAAACCAGGCAACAAGCAGTCATTAAGCTCATGCTGATTCTGATGCTGATGGTGAATGAGAAGCAGCGCTGCAGAAAACCACCTCATTCCTAGCATCCCAGGGCCACAGGTGCTCTGTGTTAGGTTGAGTGTTCACTTGTCCAGTGTGACAAGTGTTGACTTGTTAAGAGTTATTGGCATCTGAGTTTCTGGTGACCAGATGCATCTTTCTAAACACAAACACACACACACACACACACACTTGTGGAAGACTGTTGGAGAAACCCAAATGGTGTCATAGGAGGCAGGTGGGAGAAGATGCTTTGGTTGCTCAACCAGGTATGATTCTGCCAGACAAAAGACCCTATATGGTTCTCTTTTCTGCCCCACCACTGCCTCATTGTGGCTATGATAGGTTTATTGAAGCTAAAGCTTGGGCATTCTGGGGCAACCTTTGCCCCACACCCACACGAGTCTTTTTCCTTTTTCAATTGCCATTGAAGTCTGGAAATAGCACTCTGCCTTTTCCTCTGGCCCCATGGAAACTGGGACTTCTGGGTGTTTAACTTAGCATCTGACTCCATTAGATGCTCAGGGCTTCCTGCACTTACACCTAGGGATTGGGAAAAGGAGTGTTCTGGGGAAAGCAGCGGGGAGCAGTTTGCTGTCTATTTGGTGGCTTTCCCTGTACAGTGGAGAGAGCAGCCAGAACCTGAAGTGACAACTGAGACATTGTCATCTGATGTAGAGTCTCTCTTCCCTCCCTGACCTCGTTCCTGTGCCGCCTCTCCCTCCCTCCCACTTCCAACAGCGCACTTAGGAATGAGTTATGAAGTATCTTATTGGAAAGCAAGGCTTGAATAGCAATGAAGGGCAGACACTATAGTTAGTTCTAATTGATCATCTCTACCTGCACTTTCTATATTTGCAAGCACTTTTCGGGACTTAGTGAGTAATAAATAAAGTGTCTCTAGATCACCTTGCTGCTTCCCACTGCTGCTGCCTCGTGTATGCAGTTCTAGTTGTGTACCTGCTGGATACACACACTAAGGAGGTGAGACCTTCGAAAGAAATGCAAAATATTTCCACAATTGTGTTGGTGTACAAATTGACCTGTCAAAACCAAAACTAAATTTAGTAGATTATAATCAACACCCCCAGTGGATGTTATCGGTGCCTTGTCCAGGGCCCCTTTACCAGGCAGATGCACTTATCTCCCAACTGAGTATTGCTCACAGCAGCTGCCTGCTTCCTGAAGAACTGCCCTTGGCAGAGCAGAAGCCACCATGCTAGGAAGTTATCCACTCCCTCGGCATCTCATAGCCAATAACTGATTGCCATCAGGGCTGTGTTAGTTACCTGTTTCTCAAAATAAATTACTCCAAAACTTAGTGCCTTAAACGGACAAGGAATATTTGTTATTTCACAATCCTTGTGGGTCAGGGATTTGGGAGCAGCTTAGCAGAGTGGTTCCAGTTTGGGTTTCTCAGGAGGTTGCCCACAGACTGTCCATCAGGGCCGCAAGTGACCTGCAGGCTTGACTGAGGCAGGTGGCCCTGCCTCTGGGGTGGCTCACTGGCCTGACTGGCAAGGTGGGGCCGGTTGTTGGCAGAATGCTCAGTCCCTCTAACCATGAGACTCTCCCAAGTTCAACTTCTAGAGTAGCTATGATAACATACTTTCTATAAAACCTATATTCTAAAAGATATTTCATAAAATAACCTTCCTCTAATTTTGAAATCTGCAACATTTCAGCAGTTCGTTTTAGACGTTCAGAGGCTGAACATTTTAGATTCTGGTTCTGAAGGCATGTGGGTGCCCTCAGCGTCAATAGCAGCAGCTAATATTTCCCAAAGCTTTTCCATGCACCAGGCCATGAGAAGGGCAAAAAGTGTTGTGATTCTGTTGAAGCAATGCCCACCACCCCTTCAGTCCCACCTTGAAAATGTAACAAGGCAACTGGGAAACTATCTTCAACATCAGTGCTTTTTTCATTTTGCTTCTCTTGATTTTTACATCTTATAAAACTGAGACTCCACCTATATTTGTTCTTTCATCCAATGCACGTTGGCTTCTGACCTCACCCCTGAAACGGCTTCTCCAGAGGTCTGCAGTAACTTCCTGAGACCACATCCCAATACTGATTCTTTTCAGTATTTTTATTACATGACCTTTCCATGGAGCTTGACCCCAGTGAATAACTTCCCAATCTCCTCCTTCTTGAAACTCTCCTCTCTTGGATTTCGAACTTGGATGACAGAGTGAGAAAGGCCTGGCATGTTTGCTCTGGACTGGGTAACCCAATGGAGCTATGTGGATTTTCTGCACAAATTTGGGATGTAAACACACCCAATGGGGCTTCTGCCCAGAGGATTGTAGCTAGGCTGTGCTGGAGGTAGGGAAAGCAGGGAGGAGGCTACGTGTTGGTGGGAGGAGGCTGATAGAGCCTGAACCAGGGGAGGCAGTGAGCCTTAGGAGAGAGCAGGTAGATTCTAGATACTTAGGAGAGCCACTGTCACAGAGCTTTGTAAAGGGACTTTGGATGGAGTGGGCACTGGGGGAGGGCAGAAAGGAAAATAGAGGCACTGAAGATGTGTCCAGGCTTCTCCGGGGGTAGTTAGTAATGCCATTGACCCAAGTCAACTGATGTATTTCTGTGTTTTTGCTGAGTTCTTCTTCGTTTTTGACTTTTCTTGGGTACATGAATTTCCAGAAGTACCTGTTCCAGGGGCAACTGACAACTGAGAGGGGTGTGAGGCATGGGAGGGCGGGTGGGGCACAGGCAGCTCCACTGGGCACCACCTCTCCAGCAGGAGTGGTTTCTTTATATATACCAGGGATATTTCTGCATTGAACTCTAGACCATGTGGAACTTGAATTAGCAAGTCAAATGCCAGGCACAATTTTCTAGATGGGCCAGATGCAACCACACTCAGGAACCGTACTTCATTAAAGTGTGTGTGGACCCAGGTTGTCTTCCTTCACAATTTTGTGAGTACAAATGAGGTTGGACATTAACATCACATATCTGAGAAGGCTGGGTCTCACTTAAAAAAAACAAAAGCAGTTTTATTGAGATATAATTCGCATCATAGATTTCACCCTTCTAAAGTTTATGGTTCAGTGGTTTTTGATATATTCATAGAATTGTGCAACAATCACCACTTCAAAATTTTAGAACATTTTCACCACCCTTCTCTCCCTTCTGTCCCACAAAACTCTGTACTCATTAGAAGTCATGCCTTACTCTTTCCTGGCAACCTTGTATCTACTTTTTGTCTCTACAGAATTGTCTATTCTGAGCATTTACTATAAATGGAACCATAAAACATGTGGCTTTTTGTGTCTGGCTTCTTATACTTAGCATAATGATTTAAAAGTTCACCCGTGTTGTAGCATGTATCAGCAATACATCATTTATTATGATTGCTGAATAATCCATTTTATGGATATATCACTTTTTGTTTGTCCATTCATTCATTAATGGATACTTGGGTTGTTTCCATTTTTTTGGCTATCATGAATAATGCTGGCATGAACATTTGCATACAAGTCTTTGTGTGGACGTATATTTCATTTCTCTTGGAGAGACACCTGGGAGTGGAATTGCTAGGCTATTATGGTAACTGTATCTTTACATTAACCAATATTGAAGAACTGACACGTGGGCTGCATCTTTTTTCTGATCCCATCAGTGATGCATGAGAGTTCCAATTTCTCCACATCCTCACCAACACTGTTATTGTCTGTCTTTTTTATTTCGGTGCATATGAAGTGGTATGTCATTGTGGTTTTGATTTGTATTTCCTTAATGATTAATGGTGTTGAGCATCTTTCCATGTGTGTATCGGTCATTTGTGTATCCTCTTTGGAGAAATGTCTATTTAAATCATTTGCTTATTTTTAAATTGGGTTGTCCTTTTATTGTTGACTTGTAAGAGTTATTTATTCTGGACTCCAGTCCTTTATCAGATCTATGACTTGCAAATATCTTCTCCCATTTTGTGGCTGTCTTTTCACTTTCTTGATTGTGTGCTTTAAAGCATAAAAGATTTTTATTTTGAAGATGTGCAATTTACATTTTTTTTTCTTTTATTGCCTGTGATTTCAGTATTTAAGAAACCATTGCCTAATTTAAGGTATAAAGATTTATTCCCAGGTTTTCTCCTAAGAGTTCCATAGTTTTAACTCTTGCATGTAAGACTATGACCCATATTGAGTTAATTTTTGTATGTGGTTTGAAACAGGAGTCCAACTTCATTCTTTTGCAGGTGAATATCCACTTGTCCCAGCACCACTTATTGAAAAGACTGTTCATCTCCCATGTGATTGTCTAGGTGTGTCTAAATCAATTGGCCATAAAAGTAAGGATTTCTGTTCATAATTTAATCAAAATTTAGTTCTATTCCATTAAACTACGTGTCTAGCCTTTTCTAGTGCCATGTGGTCTTAATTACTATTGCTTTGCATTAAGTTCTGAAATTGGGAAACTTGAGTCCTCCAATTTTCAGCTATTCTGGATCCCTTGCATTTTTATATGAATTGTAGGATCAGTTTGTCAGTTTCTACAGGAAACCAGATGACATTTTTGAGAGGATAGTGTTGAATCTGTGCATCAATTTGGGAAATGTTGCCATCTTAATACTTAAGTCTTCTGATTCATGAAGATGGCATGTCTTTCCACTTATTTAGGCCTTCTTTAATTTATTTCATGATATCTTATAATTTTTAGTGTGTAAGACTTGCATTTTCTTTGCAAGTGCCAAATGCTACTGATTAGAAGTACACTGGAAAAATCTTTCGGTTGCTATACCCTTTTCTGGCTTTTATTACTGTTTTTAATTGACACATAATAACTGTATATTTATGGGATACAGTGTGATTATGAAGCCTTGCACCTATGTTGTTTATGTCAAGTATTTTTTCTTCTAGATGCTATTGTAAGTTGTTTCCTTGATTTCATCTTCAGATTATTCATCACTAGTATATAGAAAAACAATTGATTT